CAATATTTAACTCATATATTAATTTAAAAACACTAATAAATTTATGTAAATAAATAAATAATTATTTTATTTCAGTATTTCACAGCCTTTTTGTTTAAAATAAATATATTTAACCATGTAAAGTTTATATGGCTTTATTTTTAATCATTAATGGTATATGACTGATTGATAATATATATACTCAAATGGTACGCGAAAAAAAATGTTTGAGAACCACTAATTTAAATTATTAATACACTAAATTTATCAATTTAATAGTATTAGTAATTTTTTTTTATTATTATTAAATATATTTTTTATTTCGTCTGCATAAGTAGTCTCTATACTTCTGGATACGACTTTTCATTTTTTTCTTTTGTTATTAAAGCATTCATTTTTTGCTATAATTCAAAGTATAATTTTTTTAATAATATTTACTATGTTTTCTTTAGTACATAAATAATGTTTAAAATTACAATATAAATTATATTTTTCTCGGCCTTCAGGCACCAGGAAACTAAGTCATTTTTAACGTACTTCTTTTATCGCGATTGAGAAGTACCTATTTATAAATATTATTTATTGTTATAAGATATAATTTTTAATATTTAATCCCTACTTCAAATAACAATACATTGTTATATTTGTACATTCTAATATGTGCTATAGCCTAATAGTTTTAGTAAAAATCGTTTTGAAATTTAAATGAGTGTATAAAAACTATTACAACTTTAATAGACCTCAGTATTCCATCGGTTAAAGTTTTAAAATAAATTGTTGTAAATAAAAAACATTCATATTTAAATATTATTTTTTGGCGGCACACCGTGGCAGGAGTAACGCTGAGACAGATAATCTATATCCAATGTTACTCGTATTATTCTATTTATGTTGTAATGGACACTATACGTGCACCTATTTACAATTTATTTATTTACTCGGATTATTGGGAGCCAATTTGTAGTCATACTGACTACAAATAATAGACCAGGAATTGGTGTTATGGTAATTCTATAAATTTATTGATATGACATAATTGAAAGAATTCACAATGTTTTAATCATCTTATATAATATTGAGCATAATAAATATTAATGTAATTGTCATTTGACTCAGCAAATATCAACTAAAGAAAACAATAGTAATTTCACGGAGTAATTATATAATCTTAAAGTCCCATTTGCAGGCGGCGACGGCGCACAGTGGTCTGAAAAGTAAATTTAGCTTACATAAAATTAAATTGTAGTTTTTATTCGTAATAAATTATCATATGTTTTTACTTTTGTGTAGGTAATAACTATTAAATAGATAAATTACTATGTTTTACTAATTAGGAGACCTATAGACGTCTCGCAAATTTGGTACACTTAAGGACTTCGATTTATCTATACGTATTTAATATTAATATGCAATATTATCGACTTATTAAATCATAATATTATTTATTATAAAAATTTACCATTCTTCATCATTTTACTTTTATTCTTTAGAATATTATTTAAATAATTATATACAATATTATTGTGTTTAGTAATGAAATGTTAAAAAGAATTATTAAACTTAAATGATTAATATTATAGAAGTTATATTATTATTGCGAATCATAATCAGATTCAGATTTACTAGAATCACTTGCTTGCTCTTCAGGCATTATTATTAAAAGTTTTGCATCGTCTGAAAATGTTTGCAATATTTTGGGTTGAATGTTTTGCATTGACGGTATTAATGTAGCAACATGTTAATGAGATCTTCATAAATTTTCACTCTGGATAATTTTCTTTTGTGATGTTCCCTGTAGTTTTTGTAATTTTTGTTTTGGCATTATTGAGCTTCTTCAGACAATTGGCCTTTCGAAAAAACGAATTTTTTTTTATAAATATATATTTTTCATATTATACACACAAATATAATAAATAATATTTAAAATACTAATTGGCAAAATTGCATGCCGGATAACATCAGCTCCATGAAATAAAATGTTATGTACAGATGGAGGCATACAGTACCAGGGGTAGAGTTCATCAAATAGTTTAGCTGTTTGGATACCATACGTTTCAAAAGAATCTGTATTTATTTCATATCCACTTTCCATGACAGTTAAAATCGTTCCAAATCATTTGATTAAATTGATGTTCAAACCAGTAATATCATCTCATTTTTTTTGCATTTTAAAGAACTTCCTGGTTGTGTTTTAATTATTTGTTATACCGCAACCTATTTTAACGATATTATAATTTAAATTAAAAATAGTTATAAACATAATAATTTTTAAATTAAAATATATCTTGTAATACTATATCTACTAATAATCCCATTTCAGAACGAAATTTTTCTTGTAATTCTTTTTTTTTTTTACTTGCAAACTTCAATTTATTTTCAGTAGTTTTCACTTATAATGCATTAATTTATGTTTTCTTTAAAATGTAGTTAATAGAAGGTATACATAAGTATAATACCTACTTATGTATACCTTCTATTAATTTTATTTTAAGTATAATACCTACTAATAATAATTATTATCTACTAAGTTTTGAAGTCCAAACGATATGACATGCAATAGACATTCAAAAAGTCTAATCCATGCGTGTAATGTCGATAAACTAAATTTAAAATGTTTCGGTTTAGTACTTAACTTTAATACTTTATCAATATCATGTTTTGGGTTACAACCACAGATATAACATTTTTGACTCGATGTAAAAGTCATTAAATTGTATACATATAGGTGCATTAATTATGTACATTCTTTTATTATTTCTAAAAATAAATAGTTCCAAAGTATATATAAAAATAAATTTACCTTTCTATCGACCATTGAAAAAATTAGCTTGTTCTTGATTTTCAATATACTATCATTATAAATTAAATCTGTTGTATTTAAGATATCTATTTGTTTTTCAACAGCTACAACTCGTTTGCGCACATTTACCTTTTTTACAACTCGTTTACGTAAAAATGCACAACTCAATTGTGCACACATATTTTGGCTACCTGTGACGAAAGTCTCTAGTGCCGGAACTTGTTTGCTTATTATTGTTGATTATTATACTCCTCATTTATTAACAATAACACTCGCAGGACATTTTTTATTAGTGCATCTAAAATTTGAACGTCCATTCATTAAAACACGGTATTCACTAAATTTATAATTATCAATGTCAAAACATCGTTTTCCTCACCGAGATTCAAAAGTATTAGACATTTTTACGCCATATTAAAGTTTACGTCGTCAACACACTTAGTCACCACTGTACCGTCCATATCAATTTATAAATTCATATAATTTTGTACAAGATTTGAAATTTTTTGTTTTTTTATTCTTTCTGTGCACGACTCAAATTTTATTTCGGACAACCAACAGTTTTATCATTCATTTGTAATGGAAGAGTTGGTAAAATGAATTCCTTTTTAAGCCATTCAGAATATTTTTTAGTAAAAAATGTAATTGTCCTATTATATTGGGACCATTTTTTGTGTAGACTAATGGTAAAAGTGTGTACTAAATTTAAAACTAGGCTTTCAAATTCTGAGCTCCATTCATATCCATTGTGTTTTTCGCGAATTTTTTCAGTAGAAAAAATCTAGATTCCACACTTAGAGGTTTCATTGCACCTACTCCTCGTAAAAAAATTAAACGAATCATCGTTGGTTAATTTTTTTAGTTTTTCACCGCTACTACAGCCTGCTGAAAACGAGATTATAATGAGCACATAAGCAGATATAGGCAGAGCAAATTTATTAAAATCAATTATGTAGCTTGTATACATTATAAATAATATAATATAGAAATGTAATTTTTTGTAATTTTAAAGTTATTGAATTATTTACTAACGAAATATATATTATATCATTAAAAACACAATTTAAAAAATTTGAATTTTATAACTTCATTAATATATGTGTATATAAATGTGTTTTAATGGTACTTATCTTCATACGTATATTCCATTGTGTATACAAATGCAAAAAGAATAATTTTAATAATTAAAATGTGCTTCCAATAAAACCAAAATGAAATAAATACTCACGATGATAGACAATATTTTTTAAATTATATACATTTTAAGTTGTCTATAGACATCAATAATATTTATGGCTTTAATTTTATCAAATTAATTAACTAATAGATATATATAGGTTAGGTTATCTATAAAATAAAGATTTCATTTAGATAACATTTTATCATACTTTCTGAATTAAGTTTTGTGTAAGGTAAATTTACTTTTCAGATCACTGTGCGGCGACTTTGTGTGATATAAATCACAGGTGTGTGACGAGATTGCTATGTATATCATCGGATATTACACGAGCACGGATTAATACAACCGTCGGGACTTTATCTCTCGACAGGCGACACGGCGTACTCAAGTCCGATGGTGGCGGTGTAACAGGCAAATCATACCCCCGGAAAATATTACCGATGGGGAAGTAAGATTTTCCAAGGCATATTTTACCCCCGGTACTATTATCCTAGGTTATAGTTACCTCCGGTAAAATTATCCTAGTTTAATTATTCCCCCTTCAGTGGGTTCGATTATCCTAGGAAAGTTTTACCCCCCGGTAAGAATACTCTAGGATAATTTTACTTCCCGATAAGAAATTACTAGGAATATTTTACCTCGAGGGAGGTATGGTTTCCTACGATATTTTTTGTTAATAAAAATGGAGGAAAAACAAATTTTATTAATAAAATTATGTTTATAGGTACATACCATTGTTTTTACATGTTGAAACGGAGTGCCGGGATTACCGACACCCGGATCTTTTTATAAATGTTCACGAAATAAATATCAAGTTATTTATTTAATATTAAATAAAAGTAATACATTTAATAAAATTATTCCGGGCCGCGCGGCTGGTTCGAATATGCGACCGCGGCAAGTGGTATTGGACCTGAGCAGATGCGATAGAAAATTGGATACACAGTCGACAGCAGACTTAAGCAAACGAGCGTATCGACCGTGATCACTTTACCAGCGGACACTTGTGTAAGTGCGCAGGAAAGGTTTGTACGGATAATGACCCTAAAAAGGGCCGTTTTTAGTGTCGACGAATCGCGTAGCTCCGCGTGTAAACATCGCCGAAGCCGGATTCGTGGGTTGTCTTATTCGTCGTTGTTTTTCACGGCCGTGGTTACCGCAGCCGCCGTAAGGTTGCTATCGCCGTATTCAAGATCGCCGTGAATGCCGCAATTGCCTTCGTCGTATTCTCAGTAATAGCCGGCGGGTGCTCCTATTCTTCTTATCTTTTGGATGTAGATCGTTGTGAATGGAAGAACAGAGTGTC